CGGACCACAGAGCTCGACATAGCGAGAGACACATTGCTCCATGAACGATCGCATATCGTACTTGATCATTCGGATTTCGCGAGGACCGACAGAGCCCTGAGCGACAGTAGTGTCACGATCGCCAAAAGTGAGCTCGGGAAATGCCTTCTTGGGTTCCTCGAAACGCGTCCAATAGGAGCGCGGATCAAAAGAATTAGGAACAACATGAGAGAAAGTAACATGCTCACAACCCAAATAACGTTTGATGCTCGAGGGCGGCTCCAACTTAATCTTTGATGCCATGAGCTCCCACCCTGTGGCCAGATTGGCCTTTGGTCCACTGAGCTTAAAATCATCGACGTAGACCACAAGCATAAGGTTAAGCTTGGGATGGCGAAACACGCTCTTCCAGTCAGGGCATTGCTCGAAGCCAACAGAGCGGAGAGCCTTTTCGCAATGCTGTTCCCAGAATCCACCGGCATCCGGGTGCCCGTAAAGGGCCAATACAAGACGCACAACCGGGTCATGATACTTCCCATGCCATTCGGGCAGCCATCGATCTTTGGGCAGTCGCACCCATGTGGCGGGGCCACCAAGCTTAGCTTGAGTGTAGGCGGACTCGCCGTCCGCAACTTGTATTTCGTGACCGGGCAAGAGACCGAAAGCATCAGCGGCCTTCCCTGCCTCCATGGTCGCGGGGCATGAAGTTATCTCGGAGAAAATCGCCCAATTGTTGCCTTCATCTTTGACATGACAGCCCTCAAACACGACACGACCCTTAAATTTTCGATTTGGATCGGATTCTGGAAGCTCGGAGTTCTCACGCATATATCGAAGATACGACCAACATGGGCCGTCTCTCCCTTCGCCATGGCCTCGTTAGACACATCGCGCCATTCACGCACGGAGGCGTAATCCCAGCAGCCCTGATTGATAAGTTTATTCCACTCCTTATCAAGGGCGGCCGTGGCCTTGGGATTAGCGGCACGTTCTTTTCGATCAACAGGCCGTGCGACACACGCGCTGTAAAAGAACACCGAAGAGTCTGGAGAGCGATGCGAATGAGGATCGGAACGAATAGACATCGCAGGTGCTGCATCGGTATCCAGACAGTCGTTGGAGGGCTCTACCGGTGCAGAAGTACCATCCCCGGTATCCTCATCCGTGAAATCAAGTTCAACTGCGGCTAGCACGGAAGTATAAAACTGAACCACTGCCACATCCTGTCCTGGTTCGACAATAAGATCGGTGTCGGTAGGATTAAGGACGTCGACCCCGGATTGGGTAGCCCCTTCGTTGTACGTATACATGGCCGGACAAATATCGAGGCCACTACCGCGTAGCGGCTGAAGGCGGGCCGACGTGCCGCTTGGGGGATCGAATTCAAGGTCAGTAAGAACACAGGCGCGAGATTTAGCAGGGACTACAACACGTCCCTTCGCACGTAAGGCGTGGCCATAATAGCCGTTCGCCGTTTGCACTCGGCGCTCTGTTCCGTCGTTATTCGGCAGACTGGTTCGAACCTTGATCTGTGTTTTGGCAGAAGAACCGATAACGAAAACGGTCTTTCCTGTCCATCGACATGGCAGAGATCGCACATCGGATGATCTCCATGAGTCCTGCAACGTAAATTCTGTGCCATCGGTCATGGCCATAGTCATCCTGACATCTGTCAAGGTCGCAGGATCGACAGGACAGTCCTTCACTGAGGTGGGATTAAAGCGCGCTCGGCGCTCGATCACATGAAATCGGGTGACCGTGCCAGCTGCGACATCGTGATACCAATAATCCTTATCATGCCGTTCAGCACCCGACTCATATTCGGAATCGAAAGCGATGTCGACAGGAGCGGCATCGCGAGAATCCTCTCGGGACATGGCGTGAGACTCAGCTTCTCGGCGCTCAGCCTCGACATACCCCTCCCGTTCGGCGCGATTCATGCTGCGCCAGGATTCGGAGTCGATAGAGTTCGGTTTTCGAGACCCTCTGTAGACACGCTCGGAGCGCGGCACACTCTGACGGTAAGGCAAACCCCCCTCGCCCTCCAGGATCTCCGACCCATGGTAAGGAGGTAACTTCTTCTTGGATGGGGCAAAGCCATCATCATAGAATTCGACAGTGCCTGTCCAGAGTTGCATCAGTCTCGTCTTACCGAAGGCATAGCCGGTTTCATAGATCGTAACCGGACTTTTATCCTTATACTGAACATGCGAAATACGCACTGTGCTCAGCTTCCACGGATCAGGCGACTCGCCAAGAGATCCGGGAGTCTTACTGGGATGAATCATCGCCTTTCTCGGGACGACTACGTGATAAGTCCACTTATGACTCGATGGATCATATTCCCAGTAGTCGACACCTCCTCCATGAGAAGATTCGGCTCGTAACTCGGCTTCACGAGCCCGCCGAACATCTTCTTCGGTCATTCGGGTCGGCTCGTCGAGGGCAAACATTTCATCGATATCTTCGAGTTCGAGCATATCAGAGGCGTCAAGGCGCTCACTAGATTGAGGCGCACAAGACTGCATCGCAGGATCGTTGATGCACATTGATCGAGTCTGCTTGTCGTACACGGCGAGCATCGGGAACGTCCATCGCTCCTTGGGTGAGCAATATATCTTCTTGACCTGGTGGACGCTCGCACGCAACGCATCGCGTTTGAAATCTTCCAAATCGGCGACAATGTAGTCACCGTCCCACTTGCCCCCGTTCTCAAAATGATAACCCAGAAAAATACCAGGCTTACTCGTAGGGGAGAACTTACTGGGGCGTTGGTAAGACGACAAGCGTTGATCAACTTCGGCGCCCTGAAGAGTGCTAGATTGATCATTGTCTCCGTCATCAATCCACTCTAAATAACCATCGTCATCGAAACCAATTTCGACATCAATCAGTCCGTCGGCCCCAGGCGCAGGTACGGCGTACTCCTCACCATCGCCGAGGACAACTTCATCTCTCTGACTCCGCCGGGTCTGTTTTCGTGCCGGCGTAGGATAGAAGTCAACAAGGCAACCAAACGGCAGAATCTGACCGTCAAACTCAACACCATCAAATCGCATCGCATAGGCACTCTGACCCTCGCGCAATTCGATGTTACGAGCATGGCAGAAGTGCTTGCATGCGTAAGGCCAGAATTTGGCGCTCAATCCCGCTTGTCGTAGCGCCACACGTGCGCCATGAAGGACAAGCTTCACCTTGCTCTCGGCAATGGCATTAGTTCGAGGCATTCCCGGGGTGGAGTGCTTCACAGATATGCCGACTTTCTTGCAGGTCGATATGAACTCACGGGCTTTATCACAATAGATCTCCCGAATCGCAGAAGGTGCATACCTCCTCTCCACATCCATGGAGCACGAGTTCACGTCTCGAAGATCGCCAAAGACCTGTTGAAATGCTCGGAGCGTATCGGCGTTCGTTCTTCCCTTAACGGGAACGCTCTCCAGCCACTCGGTTGCTAGATCGTAGAAGACGACAGCATCCGTCTCCCCATTATTCCCGCGATTGCCGAGCCCATGCAACACCATGGTATCGATGGTAACGTGTTCGCCAAACTTCTCAAACCCTTTATCGCGCGGTGAGTCTTGACGAAAGGATTTAACATTTTCCATCTTTGCACGTTGGCAGGCATCGCAGTACGGGTTCTTTGGGAGATGAGTCATGAGATGACGGATTGACTTTGCCTCATCTTTCAGATCGCGCGCTCTAGGTTCATCAGGCGGCGACTGAGGCTTACCCTTGTCGGGCACCTTCTTGTTATCGTCAGGTGCACTCTTCTGAACGCTCTTGGCGTTGGGCATATCGAGATCAAGTTCTCCGACAGCGTCTAATTCGCTGCCAGGCTCCTCACCAGCTGCAACGACCTTTTCGTGGACGATAATCGGTGCTGGGAGGGCCGGATACACACGAGGGAGATCAGGTCGGCCGGCCACTACCTCTGTCTCACTTGGAGCAAGGTAGGGAATATTATTGATCACGTCGACCTTGAGGCGTTTCCCTTTCGGATCAAAGAATATCGGATCGCAAAAGGGCTCCCAAATGAATCGATAACCAAGCTCCTTACATCGTTTCCCAAGGGAAAGGAGACTTGGCGTGCTTTCCAACACATAAGCTTCAATCAGTTCATCAAGACCATCGATGCGCATATGCGCGACACCCTTGGTGTTGGTCTTCCCGTTAGCTGTCCGAAGACTGATCTTAGCATTCTGGACGATCAGATCCCTTTCCTCACGGGATAAATCACCGAGACCAATAAGGTCTATACCGCAACCGGAGTCAAGCATGAGTCTCCGTACCCTCTTAATAGACTTGACAGCAGCAGCAAAGACTTCGCAAGCGCTCCGCTGAGAAAGCGTGAGCTCAAGAACACAAGCATCATTTCCTAACGTTTTGGCATCAATGTCATCGAGCAAAACCTGCTCTCGCCACAGCACGGCTTTCATATGGGCTCTTCGCCTCTCGCGAGCGCTATTCAGACCACGGATATTTTCCGGCCACGAATAGCTCAAATTCCTCTCGCGATTGACGGGGCCGAAGGCCGGCTCCGGGAAAGAAGACTCTATCACGCGGGTCTCAGTGTTCCCAAATGACACTGTCTTCCGCTTGACTGACGGACATGCCATATCGAATGATGCTGCACAAGCGAACGCAAAGTCTCCAAAGGAGGATGCTGTCATTGCCTGAGGGTTGCGGCACGCCCCTCTCAAAAATCCGAGGGCGTTGGCGCCGGGCTGTCAACCCGCCTTGATGTCGGCGCGGGCTCAGCAGGCGCGGGAGCGGCAACAGAAGTGCTCTCAGCAGGAGCACCAGGCTTCACATGCTTATACGGACACTTATCACCTCTTGTGCAAGATCCACGGGCATAGTAGAAGCATATGCCAGACTCCTTTGATATCGGTGACTGGGATCGAGGCGGGAAACCCTTTGGCGAGGAGCTTCTTCCCTTCAGGTTGTGGGAGAACTTGCATCCGCTTCCTCGCGTGCATCTGCCTTTCTTGAAATCGTAGCAGATTTCCCGTCCTCGCGGGGATCGCGACATCGGGCGAGTCGGTGCGGGAGCTGCTCGTCCCGGACTGCGGGAATATCGCCTTGGCGATCCGCGTCGCGGGGAGGATCGTCTGGGTGACGAGCGCCTCGGCGAGCTCCTTCGGTACGGACTCCCTCTCCTGGAGTCACGACGCCCAGGCGATCTTGACCCTCTTTGACCTCGGGATGAAGACCTGCGCGGGCTGCTATGCGCAGGTGCAGCGTATCGTCTCTGCGCAGAAGTAGACCTTGTAGCGGTGTACATCTTTTCCTGATTGCGTCGTCGGCGCCAAGTTGTAATCGCATTGACGCAGACGGTTCGCAAGTATGCGTAGTTCCGTACGGATACGTCCCTGTCCCATAGCTGCATGTCGAGCTCGAGACAGCGGAACTCACGCACCTGCTCGTAAAAGAGGGCGCAGAGAACAGGATCTTCGGGGCGATCGACTGAGATACCAGCGAGAACATGATCCCACCGATTGGAGAAGGCTTCCAGCCTTTCCTGCTCGGATCCATGAGTAAACCGATCAATCGTGGTCTTCATCAGGTCAACGAGCTTGAAAGTCGAATCGCCGGTGACATGTGGTCGAAGGAAATCATACAATAGCCACAAGATTTGCCTACTTCCGAGTCGCCGGTTTATCGTATGCATGCGCTCGGTCTCGGTCTGGATCTTATTCTTCAGTGCAATGGATCGGACGCACTCACGGAACGCAGAGTTGCATTCGTTTTCAAGCATTCCGTACTTGCACTCATCGAGGAGATCCTCATATCGTGTACCATCGGGAATCTCAACCCATGAGAGTGCGTATCCGGGATCGTAGGCGAATGCGTTCGCGACTCGCTCTTTCATATCGACGATCCAGCGTCGCAGCTGAGCAGGCTCCGGCTCGGGATCGAGACGAAAGGACTTGCACTTTGCCTTCTTGGCCTCGCTCAGCGATCCATCGCCCTTGGGTCCACCGAATCCCGGATCGTTGGGACCAGGTGGATTCCCAGTCTGTCTCTCAAGACACACGAGACAGATTCTCAAAGGATCTCGGCAACATCCGTTGCAGCACGAGAATCGGCAAGATATGCACGACCGTCGCACGGTGGTCGGGAAAGTTCCGGTGCAGCGCTCGCACTGGAACGTATCGTTCCCACTCGGCCGACCGGAGGGCCTGATGCTAGGCGGATCAAGGCCGCCATCGGGCGGACCACTCCCGTCAGGAGGGCCACCACCAGGCGGACCACCAGGTGGGCCGTCGGGTGGGCCACCCGCCACCGGGGCCAAAACCGGACCCGTGGTGTCCATGTCCTCCGAAGCCACCGCCATATGCACCCCCGTTATCGTTGGGCCATCACCACCGGAACAACCGCCGTCTCCGTTACGCGCGGGCGGCGGTCCGCCAAATCCGGATGGCGCGGCACTGGGTGCAGGAACGGACGTTCTGGCACTGAAGGTAGGCATCGGGGGCATGGCATCGTTGGCTGCAGCATGCTGAAGCGTCGCAGTAACGCTCGTGGCGGGCGCAAGGGTAAAAGTACCGGTCTCACTATGGAGAATTGGTGCGCCAGCACTGTTGCCAATGAGATTTGATCGGCCAAGCATCGCATCATACCATCGTGATGGTCCCTTCCCTGCCGGGACGGTTCGAGTATCATAGGAGATTTGGCATGGGAAGGTCGGGCTTGACCTGGGCTCAGGAGCGAAGCTTCGAGCTTCAGGGACATGTCGGATGTCAGCGCGAAGAGCATCATCGACTTGATATGGCCTGAGGCTCGGAGCCTGACCGGAAGTCGCTCCGGCGGCATTTGCGGAAGGAACGGCCTGATTCGGCGATCTTCCCGAAAAACACCCCGACGTTTGGCCAAAATTATGTCGGACGGGCTCAACAAGATTATTTTGCCCGCGACTTTCGGCAGGTTGTTCGTCAGCGACTCGTTGCTGCGCTCGCCTCAGAATTTCATCGAGATTGATTCCACTCGTCTGAGAGTGAACCGTTGAGGCCTTTTCAGCAGGCGCAGCGTTGCATCCCGGCGGAGAGCCGTGATCGATCGGACCCAACAGGGAAGACCTCGGAATGGCTGTAGTCGGTCCGCCAGGGAATAGAGCACCTGGAACTGGCGGCAGGTCCGCAGGGCGTGGAATATCCCCACCATGGTCACTGATATCGAAGAACTGCGTCCGTTCCGGACGCGAAGGCGTTGATCTATCAGAACCGCCTCTGCGGACATGAGCGTTTTCGAGGTGCTGGATCCGAGCAGTCAGCTGATCGATATGAGCTCGGTTACTTTCCTTATGATCGTAGAGAGCGCGACTCATCTCGGATCTGATGACTTCGATGCGGTGGGTAGCGTTCTGCTCCACCGCAGCAACGCGCGCTTCGGCATTAGAGATATTGATCTGAATCTGCCGCAGCGCGTCTGGGTACTGCTTGATGTGGCGGATCGTTTCGGCAAGCTGCATGGATAGCGACCCAGCACGCTTTTCGTTGAATTGATGGATCCGCTCATCGAACTCAATGAGTCGATCGTTGATCGTCGAAGTGAGCTTCGCAAAATGATCTTCAAGCGTTTCGTGATCAGAAATCCGCCTCTCGCGGAAAGAGTCCTGGAACTGCATGAACAGCTCACGCTCTTTCCTCAACTCGGCCTGAAGAAGCTCCCACATGTCTCGGATCTTGCTCTCGAGCGCTTCGGTGATATCCGAGACGCCGTTCCTCAGTATATCGAGGTCGGCTTGGGTGTTGGTTGGTCACACCCTGCGCGATCGCCAGAATATCGGTGGCGATGCGCGCGGATGCTTCTGACCCAATGGCTTCATCGACCAGGGCCCTGACAGCACAGGGTCCGGTATGCCACCCGCCGTTATCGATGGCGGGGGCGGCACCACCATGACCCGCCGCGGTAATCGTTGCGACGGAATCATGGGGTGCACCCAGATGCTCGCTCATGGGCTCGTCGGGGAGCGAGGCTCCACCGCGGCCAGCCACCGGCCCGTAGGAATCGGGGCGTGGTGGGCGGAAGGACGCCGGGTCCGAAATCGGTGGACCACGGCCGTCCGGCCCGGACCCATAGAGGGCCCGAGCGCCCTCTGGATCCCCGCGAAGGGACAGAGGACAAGCTGAAAGATCGGTCGGAAGAAGGGTAGGTGCGGAAGCAGCAGGAGCAGCGGACGCAGAAAAGGCAGGCAACAAAGGCAAAGCACGAGCGGTGGCAGAAGCAGGCAGCATGCCGGCGGGCATCGTGCCAGGCGTTGCGAAAGCAGCAGCAGCAGAGCATGGCAAAGGTGGCGCATGGTGCTGAGCTCTCTGATCGTCCTCAGCAGGCGGCGAAGCAAGCAGCGAAGCAGAGCGAGCGAGCGAAGCGTGCGAGGCGGGCGCAGTGCAGCGAGATGCGTGGGCACTATCATCGGGCTCCACGACATCCCGAGCAACTGGCGTCACTAGTGAAGAACCGACAGTCGAGGGGACACGGGGAGAACCGATCGGAGTCGCCATTCTCTCGGTGGCGCGGCCAATCACAAGTACCGAACTTGGTCTGAGCCAGGAAAACGGTAGTGATCGGACGCTGATTGGATCAGGCGGTCCGAGTGCCGAGCAGCAGCAGCGAAGCAGCAATCCACAATCGGATGCGGAGGCCCTACGGCTGATAACCTGTGAAAAGCGGAGGATTCCACTCAACTCTCGGTCACAAAGCCCAAGGCAACCAATCGTAGATCAAGGCAAAGCAAGCGGTGCAAAGCAGGACAATCAGAGATTAAAACCGTGAAGGTTGACGCTCAGGTAAGAGGCAAGTCCTACAACCCCCAGGTCGTAAGCGGCCTTTTCCTGGGACTCGCAACAGCGGTCCTTGAGCAGTCAAGCTGCGTAGTGAGACAAAGTTGGTCTGATTCCTAACCAGAAGGCAGAAGCACATGTACGCATGTCAGTGACAAATCACAGTATATATAGTATATATATTATATATAGTATATATAGTATATATAGTATATATAGTATATATAGTATATATAGTATATATAGTATATATAGTATATATAGTATATATAGTATATATAGTATATATAGTATATATAGTATATATAGTATATATAGTATATATAGTATATTCAGTATATAGTGTAATTCCCCACATCACTGTGGGGTTTTTGTTTTTGGCCTGCACAGCCCCATCCGCCCACCCTCCTTCTCCTCCCTCCCTCCCCCCTCCTCACAAGACAACGCCACACCACACCACACCACACCACACCACACCACACCACACCACACCACACCACACCACACCACACCACACCACACCACACCACACCACACCACACACCACACCACACACCACACCACACACCACAACACACCACACCACAACACACCACACCACACCACACCACAACACACCACACCACACCACACCACACCACACCACACCGAAAGAGTATTAGGAGGCTCTTGGAGGATTTGGGTGGCTTTTGTGGATTCAGGCGCGCGCAAAGGGGTCCTCCTTACGAAGAGTCTTCCCGGGGCTCTCGGAGGGCTCTTGGAGGGCTCTTGTGGGATCAGGCGCCCGCCCCCCCCCCCAAAACGGGTTTCTGCAATTACGAGAGTCTTCGGAGGCTCTCGCGGGCTCTTGGAGGGATCTTGTGGATTCCGGCGCGCGCAAAGGGGTCAGGCAATTACGAAGAGTCTTCCGGAGGCTCTCGGAGGGCTCTTGGAGGGCTCTTGTGGGATCAGGCGCGCGCAAAGGGGTCCTGCACTTACGAAGAGTCTTCCGGAGGCTCTTGGAGGGCTCTTGGGGGGCTCTTGTGGGATCAGGCGCGCGCAAAGGGGTCCTGCACTTACGAAGAGTCTTCCGGAGGCTCTCGGAGGGCTTTTGGAGGGTTCTTGTGGGATCAGGCGCGTGCAAAGGGGTCCTGCACTTACGAAGAGTCTTCCGGAGGCTCTCGGAGGGCTCTTGGGGGGCTCTTGTGGGATCAGGCGCGCGCAAAGGGGTCCTGCACTTACGAAGAGTCTTCCGGAGGCTCTTGGACGGCTCTTGGAGGGCTCTTGTGGGATCAGGCGCGCGCAAAGGGGTCCTGCACTTACGAAGAGTCTTCCGGAGGCTTTTGGAGGGCTCTTGGAGGGCTCTGGCAAAAGGGTCCTGCACTCCTGGCTGGATTGTGCTCTCTGGTAGTACAACTTTAGTACTGGAAATGCCTCGTTTCGGCTCCTGGCTGGATTGTGCTTTCTCGTAGTACAACTTTAGTACTGGAAATGCCTCGTTTCTGCTCCTGGCTGGATTGTGCTCTCTTGTAGTACAACTTTAGTACTGGAAATGCCTCGTTTCGGCTCCTGGCTGGATTGTGCTCTCTCGTAGTACAACTTTAGTACTGGCAATGCCTCGTTTCGGCTCCTGGCTGGATTGTGCTCTCTCGTAGCACAACTTTAGTACTGGAAATGCCTCGTTTCGGCTCCTGGCTGGATTGTGCTCTCTCGTAGTACAACTTTAGTACTGGAAATGCCTCGTTTCGGCTCCTGGCTGGATTTTGCTCTCTTGTAGTACAACTTTAGTACTGGAAAGGCCTAGTTTCGGCTCCTGGCTGGATTGTGCTCTGTCGTAGTAGGAACTGTAGTACTGGAAATGCCTCGTTTCGGCTCCTGGCTGGATGGTGCTCTCTTGTAGTACAACTTTAATACTGGAAATGCATCGTTTCGGCTCCTGGCTGGATTGTGCTCTCTGGTAGTACAACTCTAGTACTGGAAATGCCTCGTTTCGGCTCCTGGCTGGATTGTGCTCTCTTGTAGTACAAGTTTAGTACTGGAAATGCCTCGTTTCGGCTCCTGGCTGGATTGTGCTCTCTTGTAGTACAACTTTAGTACTGGAAATGCCTCGTTTCGGCTCCTGGCTGGATTGTGCTCTCTTGTAGTACAACTTTAGTACTGGATTTGCCTCGTTTCGGCTCCTGGCTGGATTGTGCTCTCTTGTAGTACAACTTTAGTACTGGAAATGCCTCGTTTCGGCTCCTGGCTGGATTGTGCTCTTTTGTAGTACAACTTTAGTACTGGAAATGCCTCGTTTCGGCTCCTGGCTGGATTGTGCTCGCTTGTAGTACAACTTTAGTACTGGAAATGCCTCGTTTCGGCTCCTGGCTGGATTGTGCTCGCTTGTAGTACAACTTTAGTACTGGAAATGCCTCGTTTCGGCTCCTGGCTGGATTTTGCTCTCTGGTAGTCAAACTTTTAGTACTGGAATGCCTCGTTTCGGCTCCGGCTGGATTGTGCTTCTCTGGTAGTTTACAACTTTAGTATCTGGAATGCTGTTTCGGCTCCTGGCTGGACTTGTGCTCTCGGGTAGTACAACTTGTATGGAAATCCTCGTTTCGGCTCCTGGATGGAATTGTGTCTCTGGTTAGTTACAAACTGTGTAGTACTGGAAATGCTTTCGTTGTCGGCCTCTGGCTGGATTGTGTCTCTTGTAGTGACTAACTGTAGTGCGGAAATGCCGCGTTTCGGCTCCTGGCGGATTGTGCTCTCTGTAGTACAACTCTAGTACTGGAAATGCATCCTTTCGGCTCCTGGCGGGATTGTGCTCGCTTGTAGTACAACTCTAGTACCGGAAATGCCTCCTTTCGGCTCCTGGCTGGATTGTGCTCTCTCGTAGTACAACTTTAGTACTGGAAATGCCTCGTTTCGGCTCCTGGCTGGATTGTGCTCTCTCGTAGTACAACTTTAGTACTGGAAATGCCTCGTTTCGGCTCCTGGCTGGATTGTGCTCTCTAGTAGTACAACTTTAGTACTGGAAATGCCTCGTTTCGGCTCCTGGCTGGATTGTGCTCTCTCGTAGTACAACTTTAGTACTGGAAATGCCTCGTTTCGGCTCCTGGCTGGATTGTGCTCTCTCGTAGTACAACTGTAGTACTGGAAATGCCTCGTTTCGGCTCCTGGCTGGATTGTGCTCTCTGGTAGTACAACTTTAGTACTGGAAATGCCTCGTTTCGGCTCCTGGCTGGATTGTGCTCTCTCGTAGTACAACTTTAGTACTGGAAATGCCTCGTTTCGGCTCCTGGCTGGATTGTGCTCTCTCGTAGAGCAACTTTAGTACTGGAAATGCCTCGTTTCGGCTCCTGGCTGGATTGTGCTCTTTCGTAGTAGAACTGTAGTACTGGAAATGCCTCGTTTCGGCTCCTGGCTGGATTGTGCTCTCTTGTAGTACAACTTTAGTACTGGAATGCCTCGTTTCGGCTCCTGGCTGGATTGTGCTTGGTTGTAGTACAACTTTAGTACTGGAAATGCATCGTTTCGGCTCCTGGCTGGATTGTGCTCGCTTGTAGTACAACTTTAGTACTGGAAATGCCTCCTTTCGGCTCCTGGCTGGATTGTGCTCTCTCGTAGTACAACTTTAGTACCGGAAATGCCTCGTTTCGGCTCCTGGCTGGATTGTGCTCTCTTGTAGTACCACTTTAGTACTGGAAATGCCTCGTTTCGGCTCCTGGCTGGATTGTGCTCTCTTGTAGTACAACTTTAGTACTGGAAATGCCTCGTTTAAGGCCTCATGGCTGGATGTGCTCGCTTGTGAGTACAACTTAGCATGGAAATGCCTCGTTTCGGCTCATGGCCTGGATGTGACTACGCAGACAGACAGGACAGGAGGACAGACAGACAGATGACAGGGGACAGAAGCAGACAGACAGAGACAGACAGAGACAGAACAGAGAAAGACAGAGACGACAGAGACTACCGAGCAGACCAGCGGACAGACAGAGACAGACAGAGACAGACAGAGGACAGGACAGAGCGACAGAGACAGACAGAGCACCAGAAAGAGAAGGACAAGAGACAGACAGAGACAGACAGAGGACAGACCGAGAAGACAGAGACAGACAGAGACAGAAAGAGGACAGGACAGAGACAGAGACAGACAGACAGAGACAGAGACAGAGACAGACACAGCGACAGAGACAGAGACAGAGACAGAGAGAGACAGAGACAGAGACAGAGACAGAGACAGAGACAGACAGAGACAGAGACAGAGACAGACACAGAGACAGAGACAGAGACAGAGACAGATACAGAGACAGAGACGCACACAGACACACAGACACACAGACCCACAGACACACAGACACACAGACACACAGACACACAGACACACAGAGACACAGAGACACAGAGACACAGACACACACACACACACACACACACACACACGCAACACACGCAACACAGAACAGACACACAACAGACACGCAACAGACACACACAACACACAACACACAACACACAACACACAACACACAACACACAACACACAACACACAACACACAACACACAACACACAACACACAACACACAACACACAACACACAACTCACAACACACAACACACAACACACAACACACAACACACAACACACAACACACAACACACAACACACAACACACAACACACAACACACAACACACAACACACAACACACACACACGCAACACAGACGACACACAACACACACAGCACACACAACAC